GGTTAAGGGGGCAGAGGAGAGGATCAAGAGTTCTGTTTTTGACTTTCTAACTATTAGACAGTCAAGCAGGGTGTTGAATAGGCGATTGGACACCAGAGTCTGAAGCTTAGGGGAGGGCTGGTGCTGGTTATATGAACAGATAGTTAATATTTCAAGCCCGTGGTCTGGATAAAATTAACCAGGGAGTGCCTGTAACTAGAGACGTGAAGTCTTGCAACAGCTCCATGGGGCATTCCACAAGACATGGAGATATTGGAGACGTGGGGAGCAGCCAGCACAGAGACTTGGGGGTGTGGTTACTGTGGTGGGAGGGCTGAGTGGTGCCCGAAAAACTAGTGAAGAAAATATCTTAAGGGCATGGCTAGTAAAGTCAAATCCTGGGACTGGGGTATATAAAATGCCCCAGAATTGATGATAGTGTGTGTTGTTACAAGTCATTGAAAGGCAGGTCTGGCAGAGCATGGGGGCAGAACCCTGGTTCAAGAGAGAGCCCTAGGGGAATGTGCTGGCTGTGAGTAACGACAGCTCTTCTAAGGGAGAAAAGCGTGATCAAGATGGTCAGCAGAGGAAGTGGAATCAAAGCAAGGGTTTTGACTTTGAAATGGTAGAAATAGCAGTATGTTTATATCCAGACAGTAATGCTGGTTCAGCAGAGACAGTTTGTGGTGATGCCAGAAGAGGGAGCTTTCCTGGAATTAAGTACTAAGGAGGTGAGAGTGAGAACTGTTCAGAAGGAGGTGGACAGTTCATTCACAGTAACAGGTGGGAAGGCTGAGGGCATGGGACAGAACCATTTCCCGGTACAAGCAGGAAGCCCTCTGTCTGTGCAGTCCTGTCTCCTGTCCTGCTTGTCGGTTTTATTCAGACCTTATACTTTCACTGCCATCTTTAGCATCACTAACGGAAGAGCTGTGAGAAGTTAATTTTCAGAAAGTTTCCGACTTACGAGTTTCTTTACTGCTGTAAATTCTTCAGTCTTTGCTCTACTAATGCCTACTGGGAATATGAGAAGGCAGAATTTTCTGAAAATTTTTGACCACCGAACCATTAGTTTTAAAATTGAGGTAACATTGCTTATAATAGTGTATATAATTTGGGAGGTATAGGATCACTCTCCATAGAACCATTTTTTCACTGGTGATACTTAAAAAAATAGAACCAACTTGAAGAAGAGAAAGCTGGTTGCCTTTACCCTACCTGGTTGTTAAGTTGGCCAGGGCTTGTGTGCATGTAGGGAAACCACTTCACACTGATTTAAGTCATGGCCGCCGCATCTGGCTTAAGACATTGGTTGCATCCATTTGTTCAAAGTCAGTATGACTTGTTCTCTCTTCAGTTATTATTAGATTTCATTCTTCAGATAGACACTTGCCCTGTGGAGGGCACAATGTAGGGACATCTTTACTTCAGTACTTCGGAGAAAAGAGAGAGTGCCTAATTGCTGCTAGGTCTGTGTTGAAGGCCTCAGGCTGGTTTCATTGGCTGGGTTTGTCATGATCCTCCTGGGTCAGTCACTGTGTGTGACCTGGAGGCCAGGTTGCTCCGTCACATGCCCCATCCCTGTGTCTAGGACAGGAGGCCTGTGAGTCAGAGTCCCACTCTGGCCACGTGTGACCACGTGGTCTGTGTTAACTGTCAGTAACCAACTGTTGATCAATTGCCATTTGGGTTATGTCAATGATTGACCACTGAATACTGTTTTATGACGATGATTGGTATAGAAATGTGTGAATTTGGATGGCTTTTACCATCTTGCCTACCACTGCATGAAACATTGGGGTTTCTTCACAATGTGTGTCATACTTCTTTTGTGAGGGGGGGGGGATTGTTTTCTTCTCTGGGACTCCTACAGGAGCTAAATTTGTAGTTTAGAAACATCTAATTTTGTTAATCCTATCTGGGGCACTTAAATAACATCTAAAGCAATTACTGCTTTAGAGTGTTAAAATAAAATTTCTTGACCAAAAGAAAGAAAAAGCGCTTCCTGCTGGTCGACAGCAGAGTAATCGCTCCGCAGCTGGCTGTGTGGTCCAGGGACTGTGCTGGGCTGACTGGCTCTCAGTAACAATGCAGAGATCACTGAGATTTGAACTCTGGTTAATCTGACTTAAAGGCCCTATTTTGTCATAGTTCTGATGAGTGCCTTAGAGTAAAGGATGCTCTAAGAGCCTGGTTGAAAGCCGCGCTTTTGCTGAAAGGTTGTTAATGGGAAGTTGGAATCAAATGAAAAGAAGGAAAATTAATCAAAGACTTGAGACTGGTGATGAGAGTAGAAACCTTCTTGGTGCCAGTGATGCAGCTGAGGAAGAGCTGTCACTCTGTATCTACACCTTAAGTAGGACAGCGGACCCACAGCATGGGGGCTGTCTTTCCTGGCTGGATCCTTGTGTTTCTAGGGTGAAACACATCTCTATTTCAGGTTGTTCTTTCAAGTGAGATTAGCAGCAGTTCACCTCATGGAGTTGTGGGTGGCTCATGAGAGACTCTTGAGGAACTTGCTTCCGTCTGGCATAGGGTTAGTAGGACTGTGTAAATAAACTCAAGTACAGTTTCTTTTTCTCTGTCCCCCGGGAGTATTTTCCTTAAGTATCCTAACATAATTCTAGTCCTTTGCAGTTATAGAAGCCATGTGGAGATGCTGTGCACTTCCCTGAGTTTTCCCCAGTGATAACACCTTGTGGATCTGTGATCACAGCAGGACACTGACATTGATATAGTCAAGATACAGAGTATTTGCATGACCACAAGGCGCTCTCTGGCCACCGATATATAGTCTTTCACTTTTCTCCTCCCAGGTTCTCTCCTTAGTCCCTGGCAATCAACTATTCTCCATTTCTTCTTATTTCAGATCCAGAATTACTATATAAATGTAATTACAGAGCCTGTCACCCCTTCAGGTTGACTGCTCACTCTGTTTCTCCCATGGATCAGGAGTATATTCCTTTTTCTTGATGAGTAGTATTTCCATGGTATTCATGTTCCACAGTTTAACCTGTTGAAGCCCATCTGAGTTGCTTACAGCTTTAGTTTCAGAGAATGCTCTCTTAATGGGTTTTTCTAAAAGTTTATAGTCTTATGTTTTACACTGAAGTCCGTGATCCATTTTGAATTAATGTTTGTATAAGATTTTATATGAGGACTGTAAGTTGTGGTTAATTTTTTTGTCTGTACTTGTCCAGTTGTTCCATCACTGAACAATGTTTCCCCTTTTGTGACACATCAATCAGGTATATATTAAATGTGTGGGTCTGTTTTGGGGCTCTCTTTTCTGTTGATTGGTTTCTATTCCCCTATCACACAGTTGTGCTTATTATAGCTATGTAATAAGTCTTAAAATCGGGCAGTCCAGTTCCTCCCATTTTCTTCCTCCCTGAAGTTGTTTTAGATCTATTAAGTTCCTTTCTGTGTAAATTTTAAAACAACTCCTTCTGTGTGTTTGTGAAAAATCTACCTGGGATTTGGACAGAAAATATTTTACACTTGTTAGCAGTTTGTTCTTCACTAGCATTGTGGGGTCACAGTGGGGCTTCATTACTAGCTGGTTGGACTGGTTTGGGAGTTCATTATCTTTTCTTTTTTTTCTTATTCTGGTTTGTCTATAATGGGCTGTGTTGGGACACCTATTTATAGCTAAGGGTGAAATCAAGGTTTTCCACTTGGCCTGAGTTTTGTGTTTTATTTTGTTCTTGTTAATTTTTTGAGTAGTATGGTTATTGTGTAAGAGTTTTCTGTCTTGCTGAATTGCCCCTTTTCTGGTCCTTTATAAGGAATCAGACTTTTGGTGGGGGCTTTTCTCATCTTTGGAGGCACTTTGGGGTTTCTGGGTTTTTCAGCTCCAAATCTTGAATAGAAGAGGCAAAAGAAAACCCAAGGAACATTCCATGTGTATGTTCCTTGGGTTCCGGTGTCCCTTGCCAGTTTCTCTCTACACTCAATCTCCTTAATGCTCATTTTACATGTAACACCCAACATTTTAGTCGTACTTAGTTGGGGGCATTGGGAAAAGTATATCTGTTCCATCTTCCTAGCAGCTGGGCCCACATGTTCTTCATTATGAAAATCTTGAGCATTTGGGAAAGTAGGATAGGGCATTAGCACTAACATACCCGTTTCCTAGATTTAAAAGTTGTAAATGTTTCCCCATATATTTTAAACTAGTTTATATTGTTTCAAAGTAAATTGTAGATATAATGACATTTCACCTCCAAATATTCAGTGTGTCTCTGAAAAATAATTGCAAACATCAGGGCAGTGCTTTATATCCTCATGATTTATGGTGATAACCTCATGTTATCTGGTGAGCAGTTCATACTCTGATTTCCTTAGTTCTTAAAATGTCTTACAGCTGGTTGAACAAAGTAGATCTAATGAAGAACATGAATTCCATTCAGATGTTATGCTTTTAAGTCTCCTTTAATCTTCTACATTTCCTCTCCTGTTTTTTTTTTTTTTTTCTTCTTCTTTCTTTCATGATAATGATTTGTTGCAGAAATGGTTCCAGTGGAAGCTTGGAAGGTCCAACTCACTATCAATAAGATTTGTCTGTTTTTTTTTTTCTCCTGCATTTTCTGAAAAATTGAGGTTAAGAAGCCTCCCTGTAGTGTAGGAGTTAAAAGTCTCAACACTATGAAGCTGTTGCCAGCCACTGTGGTGTGAGTTCGATCCTAGCCATGGACCTGACCCTCATGGCACAGCAGACCTCTCCTGTCTCCCGGCTGCTTCCCTCAGAGTGTACTTCATCGGTTTGCCTGTTCTACTCCCCATTCTGTCTCTGGTGAATCCTCTCTCCCTCCTCCCCAGTACCTCTGGCCTGTACCCCAGTTCTTGTATACATAAATAAACAAATGGAAATCTTTAAAAAATAAATTTGAAGTTAAATCTATAGGCTTTATTAGATTCAAATTGGGCAAGAATATTCCATAGATAATGCTGTGTGAAGTGGATTTTCTGAGGGACTCTATAAAGGTAGTAGCAATGATAATTTTTTTTGTGTGTAATAGGGAAGATGCCTTCTGCATCCTGTGATACACTGCTGGATGACATAGAAGATATTGTGTCACAAGAAGATTCAAAGCCTCTAGATAGGCATTTTGCGAGGAAGCAAGTTGTTCCAAGGGTGCGAAGGATAAAAACCCAAAAATACTTAGAAGAGGAAAACAGGCCACCAAGTGACAGGTGAAGTGTTTTTTTTTTTTTCACTTTCATACTGGGAAACTGGCTCTGCCCACCTATGTGATACACACAGTGTTTGAAAAAAATCTTTGGACTTGTGAGAAGAAATGTGTATGTGTGTGTTTTAATGGTTTGAAGTAGAGTAAAGTGATGGGTTAAATTGGAAAAGATATTACACTTCATGTTCTTTGAAGTGCAGTAGTATATCCTGCCCACCTGCCCATTTCAAGAATCTCTGCTATCACTGTAGTGGTGGTTTGGGCATTTGATTTTTTTCTTAGCATATTTACCAGACTTATGGTCAGCTAAAGGCACTGGGCATGAATAAGTTATTGTGCTTTTTTACACTACTGCGTTCTGTTGCAGCCTAGCTTGAAAGGGTTATGCATTATGTGATTTCCGTATGTCTTTGTTTATCCAGTAAACTGTTGAACATTTTAATACACTCAGTTTGTTTGGATGTTTAGGTTTTAACATCTATGCATTATATTTTAATGACTGAAAATGATCAAATTTAGTCCTGAGTATGTCTTCAGTGTAATATCTATATAACTATAAATTATTACGGCAATGCAGATTAAAAGTTGGTTCTTCTCTAAAAATAGCACCTTTTTTACAACTCTGTTTTTATATATATGTATTTTAATAATGCCATTGGGTGCCAATTTTTCATTTTGATTACTTATATTACTAAGTTGTAAAATACAGAACTAGGTAAAGGAGTCCTTTGTGAGCAGATACAGAAAATGCTTTTCTTATAGAACCATTTTCTTTACTATTTTTTTGTATATGCGTTTTTAGGAGTCAAATTTAGTGAGAGTTCATTAATATTACTGAATTTCAAATACTATTCTGTGGTTTTAGATGTTTTAGGCTTTTGCTGTAACTACAGATTATGGATTAAATTGGCACATTTAAAGAATAGTTGCAAATGGAGTGTAGTGAGTGTGTTTTTGTGTAGCATGCCCAGAAATCATCTAGTGCTTTTTATTTTAAATATTTGAATATCCACTAATGAGTTTTTTATTTTTTTTGATTGCTTATTTAATAGCACCATTCCAGGCATACAGAAAATTTGGATACGAACATGGGGTTGTTCTCATAACAACTCAGATGGAGAATATATGGCTGGACAGCTAGCTGCTTATGGATATAAAATTACAGGTAATGAAATCTGTAATGTAATTTATTGGTGAAATTTTTCAGAGCTAGATTTGAAGAGCTGTGTGTTCTAACTTCAGCCGTTAAAGCATATTTTGGTATTATTTAGTGATTTTTTGAGACAAAAACAAGATTACTTTTATACATTGCTTACCTAGGTAATTCTGGACAGCATATTTTAAAAATATTTACAATTATTTTGAATAAAAATTTGGCTTACAGAAAATTAGTAAAATTGAGAGTTCTCATATACCGTATAATCAGTATTCCCTAGTATTTTAGATAATACATTATTATAGTTAGTAAACTAGGAAATTAACCTTAGTATAATACTGTTTTCTGAGCTACAGCTCTTCCTTGAATTTTATCAATTTTCCCATTCATTTCATTTGTCTGTCCCAGAATCCAATCTAGGACCTCATTTTACATTTATTTGTAATGTCTCTTTAGTCTCCTTCAATCTGACAGTTTTTCAGTTTTTTCTTGTGTTTTATCACCTTGACAACTGTGGAGAAATCCAGTTAGCTTGCAGAATATCCTTTAACTTGGGTTTGTTTGTATCTTCATATGATTATGATTACAGTAATGTCATGAACATATTTTTTCAAAAAGATTTATTTTTCTTTATGCATACAAGTACTGGGGTGTAGATTAGAGATGCTGGGGGCGGGTGAAAGAACTCATCAGAGACAGAGTGGGGAGCAGAACAGGTGGATTGACTGAAATACACTTCTGAGGGGAGACAGGAGAGGCCTGAAGTGCCATATGTGGGTCACCTCCCTGGCTGGTAATTGAATTCATGCCTCAGTGGCTGGTGATAGCTTGATAGTGCTGAGATGTTAACCCCCTGCACCACCATGGAGGTCCCATGAACACATTTTTGGTAAGAACACTATTGTTGACTTTATCGTTTTGCACACATCATATGAGGGGCTTCATGATAATCAGTGTCTTTTTACTAGTGCATTAAGCCTTGATGACCAGTTACCTCTATAGTAAAAATCACTATTTTTCTTACTGTAGCTATCAAATACCCTGTTTCTTCTCAGTGTTTTACTGACTAATTGTAGTGTTCTTCAAGGACCTTGTCTGCATCAGTTAATCCTATTAGTGTTTGCTTAATGGTGATTTTTCTGCTTTCTTTATACCTTCCTCAGTGACTGCTATGGTTATTCACTAAAGAAGAGCTATCCCTTCTCTTCCTTACTTGTATCAGTATGGCTTCATAGATGTTTACTGTACAAGCCATAGTACAGTACTTTCATCATTTCACTGTTCACATTGTTCCAGCCTTGGTCATAGAACTTCATTCAGGCTGCCTCCCAGGGTTTCTCAGCATGCTCCTGTTCTTTGCTGAGCACTTCCTTACTTCTGGGACCCCAAGATGCCTATCTAGGATTACTAGAAGAGCATCATTATCTTTGTTCCCCAGCCTCGGAAGCAGCTACTTTCCACGGAGTCGTGATGGCTTTCATTGGGAGGATGGTGCTGGCTTAGGACAACACATGGCCTGGGATGTACTCATTGCTCCCGTGAAGAGAAGGTTCTGCTGGGTCCTCTCAGTGGGCAGAGCTAGGAAGTGTGCATGTGGATTGACTGGTGCATGCCTACCTCTGTGTGTATATTGACTGGGACCAGAATTTCTATGCTTTGTAAAAGGTACCTGCCTAGTATTTAAGATAGTTTGCCTTGCTTATTCCTTGTTATTTGCTCTGACATCCCTATTCTAGCATCCTAGTCTACAGGTGAGGAGGGAGATCTTGCTAGCATCCTAGTCTACAGGTGAAGAGGGAGATCTTGCGTGTTTACTTTAATCCACATAGGCAGTGACATTTGTTCCAAAACACTGCACTTTACCACTCTTCAGTTGCTTTGCTTGTGTGATTGGGCAAGTTCTAGCTCCCAGATAGCATGTGAAGATCAGAGAGAATTGGGAATATATTCTTTTAATAGCACTATTTCCTTTAGTAAATACATGATTGCATGTCAGCTCTTGCTTTTGATACTTACTGTTCAGACAGCAGAATCCCTCTTATGCCTTCAGAACTATTTCTCTGTGTTTATTGGCAATTTTACTCTAATTTAGCCTGAACTGGCCATAATCTGGTCTTACAGTGCCATTTGAATATTAACAAAATAGCCTGTAAGATAATTTCCTAAAACATAAATAAAAACAGAGCCCTTGCTGGTGGTGCAAGGGTTAAAACACAGCACTATGAATCAGTAGGCAGCCACTACAGCAGGAGTTCCATCCCCGCTAGGGGGCTGACCCACGTGGCACAGCAGACCTCGCCTGTCTCTCCCACTACTCCTCTCAGTCATGTATTTCAGTAGATCTGTCTGTTCTGCTCCCCACTCTATTCTGATGAATCCTTACCTCCCAAACCTCTGGCCTATACCCCAGTTTCTGTATGTATAAATTAATCTTAAAAAAATAACAGGAGCTTGACTTTTTCTAGGTGACGTTAAATGTCTAACACATTTCAGTTTCAGTTTTAGCCCATTAGCAGTATGTCTTTAATCTTATAACAGTATTTTCCTATGTAACAATAATAGTTACATTTAGCTTTGTTATATAAGCCTTATTATTTGTTATTTTTCCCACATAAGACAAGAATTAAGGAAGCAACCACTTGAATATTACTTATTTATATTGGGTATTACTTTCATATACTTGGTGGAACTTGTATTCATTTATATTTGTACTTCTTTTATAGATTCTTCATTGCTCTTTACTGTCCTCTCTTTAGACATTCTTTGTGAGCTTTTGCTTCTAGTCTGGCTTTCATGCTAACTGTACAGCTATAGCACTATTTCCTTCCGTAAATACATGATTGCATGAGTCCAGGTGCTGTCAGCCCAGGGAATAGGAACGGTTAGTTTCTATAAAGCCTTTAAGAAAATCTCTCTAGATTTTATATTTTGATTAGATATATTATATGAGTGATTTGTGATTACTTCTACCAGTCATCTCTTTAATTATTTTGGTATGGGGGGTATTACCAAAATTATTATTGCTTAATTTGCAGTCTTTTACTAATCAAATGTAGAGCTGAAACATTTTCACTTAATTGTGTAATTGATAGGAAATAGGCATAAAGTGATATGAAATAAGTATAAAATGTAGACTATGTGTAAACTTCAAAGATACTATTGAAAAAAATACATACAGAAATTGAAAATGGATTCTCAGTTACCAGTTGCATATATTTCACTACTTGGGGAAGGAAGAAAGATTAGAAGGCCATACACTTGAAATCGCTACCCTTATCTTTGTGAATCTGGGAGTATAATTACGCCCTAGGAAAACCATATAGAGGCATACTGGGAGCAGTTTGCTCTTGTTCATTGCTTCTTTCAAACCTTTTCATTTTAAGGAAGAAGATGTTTGGTAACGTCATAAAATAGTGCCCACTTGCTTATTTCAAGGAGGAGAAATGATGACATTCCCTAAGACTCAGAACATTTAACTATCACGGATACTCACATGCATGATAGACTTGGTATCATGGATGGCAGTTAACTGCCCTGATAAGTAACAATGTGGTGTTTGAGAGAAATGTGATTCAAGCATGTATATTCCATGAATATGTTGTTCACGTCAGCAATTTTTGCAGACTACTTTTTCCCAGTAATGCCTTTGGTTATTATTTATGGATGTTGGTAAATTTTTTTCAATGTCCTTTTTTTTTTTTAAAGATTTATTGATTTGTGCACACAGAACTGGGGTACAGGCCAGAGGCTCAGGGGCGGTGAGAGGCTTCACCAGAGACAGAGTGGGGAACAGAACAGGCAGATCGACGAAGTACACTGCTGAGGGGAGCAGCGGGCGGGTCAGGAGAGGTCTGCCACGCCATGTGGTCACTTCCGGGGCAGGCAGGAATCGAGCAGGAATCCAGCAGGAATCGAGTTCAAGCGGAAGTGGCTTTAGATTCTCAGTGCTGTGCTTTAACCCGTTGCACCACCAGGGAGGGCCTTACTGTCCTTTTTGGCGACAGATATTCGATATCATGAGAGTATTTTCTTTTTCTTTTTTATTATATTAGTTTATTTTTACATATTTTTGTGTATTTTTCCATCTCAGTTGCAATCCCCTTGGGCTTCCCATCACCAAATCACCTATGTGCCATCACCAGAGTCCAGTGCATTCTCCCTCCCCTCCCCCCTACTGTGAGAGTATTTTCAATGTTAGAATGATCACTGGTTATTTTAGGCCAAATCTGATGAATAACATTTGTTATATGTTGACCAATCAAGTCATTTTTGTTTATCTTAATTGATTCTGAAAACTGTTTTAAGAGTTCAGAAACTGTTGATAGTGATTCTTTCTGCATCTCTTCAGAACCTCACAACTCTTACATAAATTTATAAATAACTCCCAATGACTGTCTAACTGTGGAATAAAAGTGTGATCTCCCTAAGGTGACCTTAGGGACAGTTGTTATTTGTATGCAGGTACGTTAGATGTTGCAGAGAGAGATGAGATGTGTTTAGTCTGTACTATTATCTGCTGTGAATGAATATAGCATGTGCCTTTTCATTAATGGGAAAAAGTTAATCACAGTGACTGAGGTTTTAGTTCATAGACTCTTGAGAATAAAGTGAGCTATATTTGTGAGATATTTGTGACAAGTCTACCTAAGAAGAATAGTGTTTAGCTTGGACGCCCACAGTTTCAAAGAAATCATTGAAAAATTGTTGAGCTGTTACAGTTCTTGATAGTTTCTTTCTATATTTGTATATAGTTTATTCATACAGCAAGTGTTCTCTGAACATGATATCCATTACAGGGTATAGTGCTAGGAGGTGTGAAGACAAGAAAGTGAGCTAAACATGGATTCCAGCAGACAAGCTTATTATTTTTTGGCAGAGGAAAAGCTTTCCTATTATATGTAAAATCTTAAGTTTAGTAAACGTTTAAGCTCATGATGTTTTTTTTTTCCCTTTGTTTTTAAATACAGGCTAAGCAGAACCTGCTTTACTCACAGGGCTTTTATAATTTA